CTAAATAAAACAAAAATATTGTTGGTAATTTTTGACTGTGTAACTTTACAAACAGCACCACATACATGGTCCCTGCCTTTCACTGCTGTTCTTGGCATCATGCACATGGCTCGTATGGCCTGTAATGCAGATGGTGGGCCCACAGGAAGGCAAACCCATGTTGCTCATTTGGGCTGAGTATCAGGGCCCCATGGGTAGAGATTGGTCAGTAGGCACTTGTCCGTGAGCCCCTTCCACAGGCCTGGCTCCTGGGTGGGCCTTGGAAACCCTCCTCCGGGCAAGGGACCCAAAGTTCCTTGATTTTTTTTTCCTGACCATTTTGAATTACTCATTGTCTGGCCTGTCACCTGGTCGACCCTACTGGTTTTGTTTTTCTACAAACACTCATAGTGTTGTGTGTAACACACATCTACTCACAGTTAAACAACATCTGCTTGGTGTGTTGCAGGACACGGTGGTGGCGCTCCAGGCTCTGTCTCTCTACTCAAGTCGAGTTTTCAGTCCAGAAGGTTCAAGCACAGTGACAGTTCAGTCTCCCAGTGGAGAGCTGAAGTTTGATGTGAATCAGGACAACAAACTGCTCTACCAGGAGAAGATGCTGCAGGACACAACAGGAGAGTACAGTCTGGAGGTGAAGGGCACTGGATGTGCCTCTGTTCAGGTCAGTGACAGTGCCACCTGAAAGAGTACCGTTCACTCCTGTTTCAAACCAAAACCAGTTTTATTTGATTGTTGTGTGGTTTCTTGTTTCACAGATTACTCTTCACTATAACATCCCACCTCCTCCTGATGTCACTACGCTTAATGTGGAGGTCAAACCAGAGTACGACACATCTCAAAAACCCAAACTCACTCTGCTGATTAAGTCACTGTAAGTTACACAAAAGCAGACAATAGATATGACAACAGAATGTAGCACAAACGACCCTTTAACCATGAAAATCTGGCTTTAATAACAATCAAACTGGTAAAACTAACAAAAAAATAGGTTTATACTAAAAATTGGCATAAAGTCTCATAGACTTAAAAAGGTTTTCACTACAAATAAACAAATGTGCATGAAATGCAATTTATTTTGCATGAAGCCTGCTGTCAAATTTAATTTACTGTATTTATTCATGTATAATAATAGAAATTTAACCCTAAAAATTGTTCATAAAGTGTGTGGACAGAGGCTATTTTTAATTAGATTTTTACACTTTGTAAGCTCAAAAAATGATGATCTATTATACATGAATAAATATGGTAATCAAAAAGCATATTTAAAAATTTAAAAACATTTACAAATTCCTCCAAAACTAAACACAAAATATGAAACAGTAAAAACACAGTAAACCACATGAAAACAAAAAATAAAACAAATACAATAAATCAAAATACAATTGATTTATTTCTACCTGGATTACTGAGATGCATCAGGGCAAATACAATAAAAATAATGCATAAAATGAAAGACATAAAATGAAATAAATTTTTAATATTTTAAAATTTATTAAAAGCCTTTTATTACCTTTTACTAAAAGCTACTTAGTATAAATGTGTTTTAAGAGGCCATCTGAAATCAACACAAGGTAAAGTATGGATGTACTGAAAGAATGTCTGATAAGCTATACAAAGGAAAATAACTTTTCTTCTATTGTATTTTGTTTTATTGAAATTATTAAATTTCTAAATAAAAAATCTAATTAAATTAAATTAAAAATAAAATTGTGAGCATTGATAGCAAGGTCCCTGAAATGTTTTCCTGAAGTCTGCAAAAAGTAAACAAATGTGTTGAGAATGTAAAAGTTATAGAACAAAATATTATTAATAAAAAAATCTAAGTAGGTCCTCTGATGTTGCTGGAGTTTGAGAGAAACTGARATGTTTATTCTCTAAACATGACGTCCCAGTGGCTTTCAAACCCCAAAACACATTACGACAAAGATTAGTTCACCCCAAAGATCCAGTTCCCCGGCAAAAACAGAGTAATATTGTGTATGCTGTTAAGTGTCAGGAGGACTGTGATCAGTTATCAGTCGTGGGCACAGTTCCACTAAAGCACTAATAGGGGAGCTAATTTCCTAATTAGTGCTTTACAGCTTTTCCTAATTTTAAAAATTATTTGTGGATTAGCACTTGCTAAATTTATAGGCTAATTTTAGTAGCACTAACAGCTGAGGGTGTAAGCTGTCACACATTTCGTTCATACTGTATGTGTGTCACTGATCCACCAGGTGACAATATATTGATAATTGTAAGAACTCACTCTATGAAATTAATACCAGCTCAATCTCACAAAGTAATATCTCACGCAGGATCTTTGCGTTATGAAATCAAAGTGAAATGACAAGATATCAACTCTGATCATGAAAGTGAAATGAAAACTTGTGACCTGAACGTATTTCCAAAATAAAGTAATTTATTTTTAGATATATGAACAGGATTAAACATACAAACACTTATTAAAAATATTATATGAATAAATGACACAAGTTATATTTTCGACACATGAACTTCAACTCAGAGTTGACAAAAACAGTAAGTTCCAGGTGTTGTAACTTTACTGGCACGCTRCTTRACTAAGTTTTAAGTAAATRAGAGAATAAAGATAAAAGTTTAAGCTTTAAGGAATAGGAGGAAAAGAAATTAGTGATTTAGCACTTGTTCTTTAAATTAGACCAGACCAGCAAACAGCATGTCACAGCACGAGACATCTCCGGGCTAGACTTCACCTCGGCGACCCATCTCAGCAAACACTTTGTTCTACCTTTTTGATGTCTTCAGACATGGCCGACATAGTAGCATTGACATCCAGACCATCCACAGGCAGGTGCCTGCACGGGCACGCACTCAGAGAGACCCAGATAGAACCATTCGCTCCGACGGACAAACACGAACAACTGACTGTTAACCGTGAGAATAGAAAATTAGTTTCTTGAGAGGAGGGAAAAAAAGAGAGGTGAGAAAGACAATAATGTCTCTTTCTCACACTTGGCGCGGCCAGCTGCGAGTTGTTATCAGCAAAAACCTTGGAGTCTGAGCAAAGCAGACTAAACTGGTGGACTTAGAAATCACTTCACCTAAGGTTATAAATCACACCTTTGCACCAATGGATTAATAGTACATTATAATTAATCATTAAATCAATTTAAAAAATGATAAAACCATGATTAATAAACCAGTACTAAGAAAAAACATTAAAACACATTTCAACTCTATTTTTCTTCACAGTGTTAAACTCTGGAATAAAGAGATATGCAAAGATTAATTCAATAAAACTTTGAGTAATGATATATTGATTATAACCTCTTTTAAAAGATTAAATGAAATATATATAGAACATATTGTTCCATTCACTTAAAGAAAATAGAAACAAACTTTAAAATGAATTTCTTCTTATAAGTGTAAAAGCAAATCAAAGACAAAAAATAGAAATGAATATTTCACCAGGGTTACCCCTACATAATATATGAACACAAATACAGCTGTGGAATGTCAATGAGAAGCCTTTAGAGAGCAACATGGCAACATGTGACTCATATTGTCTGTTCAATTCAATTCAATTAAATTCAATTCAGTTCAATTCAATTCAATTCAATTCAATTCAGTTCAGTTCAATTCAATTCAATTCAATTCAATTCAGTTCAGTTAATTTATATAACTCTAAGTTACAACATACGTTGTCTCAGGACACTGTACATAAAAAGAACAATGTAAAGAAGAAAGCAGCAGATTGTGTTGAATCACTTCATCACAGTCTCCCATCCGGAAAGTATGGAACAATAAGATGTTTAATATATGATGGAGCTTGGTTGGTAAGAACTTTGTATGTTAGAAGGGTTTCCA